AGGGATTTCTGCCGATATAAGGGATCACCGCCGATATAAGGGATCAGGGCCTCGGACCGTCGATATAAGGGATCACTGCCGATAAAAGGGATCACCGCCGATATAAGGGATCACCGCCGATATAAGGGATCGGAAAAAACCCGAAAATGGCGGGTACCGATATAAGGGATCACGAAACCGGATTTCGGGCAAAATGTCGATATCAGGGATCAGAAGAAGGATTTTGCGCGATATATTATTACATTGATGTAAAGAGCTATTTATTTAGGTCGATTTCGAAAGAAATTACAGAGAAGTTGATAAAACTAAATGTTTTACGGAAGTATTATTCCAGTCCGATGCCTTTGCCAGTTTGTGATCGTGGTACTCCGCCTTTCCTTTTCCCTCATCCACCTTATTTAGTTTTCTGCGACTCCCGCGTTAATCCCCTACTGTAATTTATTGGACTGGTATTTAAAACCAATGGACTAACTCTCGGTGATGCAGCTAGTTTGGGATCCTCAACCTTCATTTGCTTTAGTACGGCCTCGACAATACCCTTCGGCGTTCCACCAGTTTCCTTCCGGCCCCACCAGTCTGTCGAAAATCTGAATAATACTTCCGTAAACCTAGCTTTTATCAACTTCTCTGTAATTTCTTTCGAAATCGACCTAAATAAATAGCTCTTTACATCAATGTAATAATATATCGCGCAAAATCCTTCTTCTGATCCCTTATATCGACATTTTGGCCGAAATCCGGTTTCGTGATCCCTTATATCGGTACCCGCCATTTTCGGGGTTTTTCCCGATCCCTTATATCGGCGGTGATCCCTTATATCGGCGGTGATCCCTTTATCGGCAGTGATCCCTTATATCGGCGGTGATCCTTTATATCGGCAGTGATCCCTTATATCGGCAGAAATCCCTTATATCGGTACAGAGCCCAAGTTCGACCCCCTCTAGGCGATGATCGACTGGGCCCTGGCCGACGCCCTTGGACCCACCCCTGTTCCGTGTCCCTGGGCCTCCCTCTTCAAGGCGACCATCGTCTGGGCCCACCAGAACGTCTTTGGGGATGGCCGAGCGGGTTCGAGCAGTTCGACCTCGGAATCCTGGCTTTCAGGTCATCTCCCACCTCGTCGACCGTCTCGAGATTGAGCGCCTCTCCTTGGCCGAACTGCGCGACGTCGCTGAACTGCTCCCCATCGCCAACATCCCCCTCCGGCAGCTGGATGACTTTGCTCAGCGGCTGGGGAGACGGTCCAGTTCTACTTCAGGTAAGGGCGCAAACTTTGTGGTATGTTCATTAGCTGTTCAGGAGCCACCGGCCCAGGCCCTCGAGATGCCCGACCGGTTCGGCGTGACCAGCGGCTTCGAGCAGGACACCGGGTCGATGAGCAGCTACTGGCAGCCGAATCCCAATCGCCTGCCCGGCGGCCAATCCCCCGAAAAGGCCAAGCCGACCAGCTCGAGTACGTCGCGCTGCCCGCGATTATTCAACCCGGTGTTTTCAGTGTCCCCGGTCAATTTCATGTTGTCCTCCCCGAACACGTCGGTCATCCCTGCCCTGCCGTTCTTGTGGGGAAGAAGAGAGGATTGAAATTCTGGGGCTTTCAGCGTCTGAGGGGCCCAAGTCCGGGCAGCGTTCGAGCTCGACGTCGGCGAGTTGCCGCCGAGCCCCGCACCGGGCTTTGGGAGGTTTGGGGTGGGAAGCGTTAGGCTAAGCTTAAGCCTAAACTGGATTAACCTAAGACTAAGGCTAGAGCTTCGGCTGATTGCTAAGCCGATACCAAAGCCTATGTCCTAAGCTAAGCCTAATAAGCCTAAGCTAAGCCTAAGCTAAGCTTAAGCCTAAGCCCAGCCTTCAATTCCGAGTTCACTCTTCGACGGCAAGGACCTCGGGCAGAACAAGCCGGTGAACGTCGACCTGGACGTGCAGCTGGAGAAGCCGCAGCAGCCCTAGCCCCGCCTCCTGCTCGAGCTCCTCCTCCTCCGCTCAACCCTTACCGAACACATCCCGTTAAATACCATGATGATCATCAATTCCAAACGCGAAACTCGATAAATTTTATAGCCGGGCTGTCGTAGTAAGTGGTACTACTCGTTACGAGTGCTCACAACATTGTAAAAGTGACAAAAAGGTGAACAAGGGAAACCCACCTTGTACCAGGCACCATTGGTCGATGTTCCGGCTGAAACCTCGCCGCTGTCGTCGATCACCACCATGCCGATGGTGTCGTGGTGGAAACTGGAAAAGGCAGCGATTGGCCAATGGAGAATTGTCAGCTTTTGAAGATCTGCGATGCGCAAAGCCTAGCCTAAGCCTAAGCGTAAGCCCGTCGCCGGGGCCTGAACACCCACCGATCGATGATCCGATTTGATAGCACCATTTTTCGAGGTTTTCCGTAGCGGACGCAGGCATGGCACAGTCCACAACTTTGGTAGGGGTTGGGTTCACGTTCTAAAAATCGTTGAGGAAGCGAGGCGGGCTGACAGAGATCATTGAGGAACCGAGAGAGGCTAGCGGGGATCGGTGAGAAAAACTAACCTTCCAAAAATTCGGCTGACAATTATTTCCCGCCTCCCACACGCGTCCATCATCAGCAGTGAGACCGGCGTGGTCGGGTTCTCTTCCTTGAAACCCATCTGGAGCGCGAAGCGGAGTGGCTGCAAATGATGATGCTCCTCAAGGCTCTCCGCTAGCCTGCCCCCGACTCCTCAATGATCTCCTGCTAGCCTACCAATCGCCAACTCTCCGACCCTGCTCCCCCAACAATCATCGTTGTGCTCCCGTGTGGTTCATCACAGCCCAGGCGACGCGTGCCGCGTCGCGTACTTGTAGCGCAGTTGGGCGACGGCTGCCATCCCGATGCCCAGGTCTGGAGAAGCCAATGGCAAGCCTTTAAAGGGAGCGTGATACAGCAAGCGGGGAGGCCTTCAAGTCAAGGGCCTACCCGTCGATGAGCAGGGCATCTAAAGGGTCGTCTCGCCGCTCTCGTCTGGCGACCCACCGTAACCCACCGTCGTGTCGCACTGCAAGGGGTGATTAGAACGCGAATGTACGCGGCGGTCATCAGGCCGGGCTCTAATTATGCAATGTAATTCGGTACGCGACGGCCCTATCTAATTTCACGCATAGCGTAGTACGGCGCAGTACGTACCGCGGTACGCATCAATACTCGAGGCCAGGAACTGATTACGCAATGTAATCCGTCGGGAAATGGCCCTGAATACCGCAATAAATACGCTATACTACGTGGCGGTACGTTTCATTAAGCCTTAGAAATAGGATTATTGTAGATAATGGGTCAAATGGAAACGGTACCCAAGCCGTACTTCCTAAGAACGTTCCTAGGATTCGATTACGCAATGTGGTTCGGTTTGAAACGGCCTAGGGTATGCCAAAGCGCTAAACTACGCGACAATACGTGTTCCCTAAGCTGTATAAATCAAGCCCAGCGCCCAGTAAATTCTGGTCAAAGGAAATCGAGTACGCAACCGTACTCACTTACAAGCGCTATAGAAGTTTCGACTACGCAGTGTAATTTCGTTAGAAACGGTTTTGAAAACCGCAATGGCCCTGCAGCAGTACGATTTGAATCCACTACGCAGCCTGAGAAATCGGATTACGGTACATAATTTGACGCTTAGCGTAGTACGGCGCGGTACGCGCGGGGATACGCAAAAATACTCGAGGCCAGGGAGCTGATTACGCATGCCAGTACGCTACAATACGCGGTGATACGTTTTCCTAAGCCTTGTGAATCAAACTACTCCAGTAATTCTGGACAAACGGAATCCAGTACGAAACCGTACTCCTCACAAACTTTCTAAGATCCGATTACGCAATGTATATTACTGATTAGCCGAATTCATATTACAAAAACCGTTCCCGGGTCACATTACCGTAGCCCGGCCCAAAAAGTACGCAAATGTGCTAATTCCGGGGGCCAAGCAGTATATCCATTACGCAATGTAATTGGACGCGTAACGGAACAGGCCGTTACATAGTACACCCACCCACCTGCAACCGCTCACGTTGACAGCCCTTGGACCAGGCTGCCCATCCGGGGAATTTCCGCTGTTGCGGAGTTGTAGGCTACAAACGACAATATTTACGATCAGCCACGGTACGAACCGTTAAGCGTAGCACTGCGGAACCCGTGGCCATCCCAGGTGTGACGACGACCCGGCGCGACAAAGAAAATTCCATGAATACAAGCAGAAAATAAAAAGAAAGAATTTCATCGTTTTTCTTTGGTGGCAGGGGTAGCCGGCGGAAAATGGACTGGATGACCCGGGAAATGGGGTATCCGTTCGTAATTGGTCCGTAAAAGGCACCAAATGGGGGACAGATGGAGGGAACGCCCGAATCGATTTGATAAAAATCGGAAAGGAATGCCCTGGGGCAAATGTCATCACTAATACGTTTTTAATGTTCCAAAAATGGCATGAAATGGCATGAAAAACACCCTAAAATTCTTGTAAAAACAATTTTCGAGGGCATTGCCGGGTCTCTGAACTGGTTGGAAACCGTTGAATCCCTAATTTCGCTTAATATCGCGGGCGTCATTGGGTTACAAAAAATGTTCAAATCAACGGTTATTTGATGATTTTATCACGAAAAGATTCTAAAAGCATAGAACGCTTGCCGGTTCATTTTCACCTAATATTCGAATGGTTGTGCCGAAGAAAACCTGATGAAAAACAGATAATGGGCAACAGGGCAAGTTGCCCCCCCAAAGACAAAAAATTTTCCGAGTTGCCCCGCCCCCCCAAAAATCAGGTTCGTGTACGCCCCTGCTTGTGTCTCTCAGTAAAGTTTTTGCCCTAGATTCCGCGGAGTTCGATTTAGGTTGTTGAGATTTTTGGAACATTTAAAACGTATTAGTGATGACATTTGCCCCAGGGCATTCCTTTCCCGATGTTTATCAAAATCGATTCAGGCGCCCTCCCATCTGTCCCCCATTTGGTGCCTTTTACGGACCAATTACGAACGGATGCCCCACTTCCCGGGTCATCCAGTCCATTTCCGCTAAGCTTCTCCTGCCGCCCAAGAAAAACGATGAAATTCTTTTATTTTCTGCTTGTATTCATGGAATTTTTCTTTTTTGTCGCCGGGTCGTCTCGTCACAACCTGGGATGGCCACAGGTTCCGCAGTGCTACGCTTAACGGTTCGTACCATGGCTGATCGTAAATATTGTCGTTTGTAGCCTACAACTCGTTAAATAGCGGAAATTCCCGGATGGGCAGCTTCTGGTCGAGGGCTGTCAACGTGTGAGCGGTTGCGGGTAGGTGGGTGTACTAAGTAGCGGCGGCCTGTTCCGTTACGCGTCGAATTATTTTGCGTAATGGATACATTGCCCAGCCCCTCGGAATTAGTACATTTGCGTACTCCTTGGGCCGGGCTGCCCCAATGTCTTGACCCGAGGAACAGTTTCGTAATATGAATTCGGCTAATCAGTAATATACATTGCGTAATCGGATCTTAGAAAGTTTGTGAGGAGTACGGTTTCGTGCTCGATTCCGTTTGTCCAGAATTACTGGAGTAGTTTGATTCCTGAGGCTTAGGAAAACGTATCACCGCGTATTGTAGCGTACTGGCATGCGTAATCCAGCTCCTGGCCTCGAGTATTGTTGCGTACCGCTCACGCGTACTGCGCCGTGCTGACCTTAAGCGTCAAGTTATGTTCCGTAATCCGATTTCTCCAGGCTAGTCGAAGTGAATTAAAATCGTACTGCTGCATGTTACGGTTTTCAAAACCGTTTCTAACTGGGTTACACTGCGTAATTAAAACTTACAGCGTTTGTAGAAGTACGGTTTGCGTTATCGATTTCGCTTTGACCAGAATTTACTGGGCTAGTTTGATTGATGTGGCTTAGGAACGCGTGTTGTCGCGTCAGTTTAGCGCTTGGCATATTCTAGGCCGTTTCAAGCCGGAATTACATGTGCGTAATCGGAATCTTTATCGACCATTCTTAAGGGTACTGGTTGGGTACGCGATTTCCATTTGACCTATTATCTACAGTAAGTCCCTATTTCTAAGGCTTAATGGAACGTACTGCCACGTAGTATAGCGTATTTATTGCAGTATTCAGGGCCATTTCCCGACGGATTACGTGCGTGTCAGTTCTGGCCCTCGAGTATTGATGCGTACTGCGGTACGTACTGCGCCGTACCCGCTATGCGTGAAATTACATAGACCGTCGCGTACCGAGGGACATTGCATAATTGGAGCCTGGCCTTACTTTGGCTGCCGCGTAATTCGCGTTCTAATCACCCCTTACAGTGCGACACGACGGTGGGTTACGGTGGGTCGCCGGACGAGAGCAGCAGACGACGCGTAGCCGCCTGCTCATCGACGGGTAGGCCCTTGACTTAGAAGGCCTCCCCGCTTGCTGTCACCGCCTCCGCTTTAAAACCTTGCCATTGGCTTCGAGACCTGGGCATCGGATGGCAGCCGTCGCCCAACTGCGCCGCGTACGCGGCGCGGCACGCGTCACCAGGGCTGTGATGGTCCACACGCAGCCAGGTGATTGTTGGGGAGCAGGGTGAGAGAGTTGGCGATTGGTAGGCTTGAGATCATTGAGGAGTCGGGGCAGGCTAGCGGAGAGCCTTGAGGAGCATCATTGCAGCCACCCGCTTCGCGCTCCAGGTAGGTTTCAGGGAAGAGAACCTGACCGCGCCATTTTCCTGCCTGATGATGGACGTGTGGAGGCGGGATAATTGTCAGCCGAATTTTTGGAAGGTTAATTTTCTCACCGATCTCCGCTAGCCTACTCTCGGACCCTCAGTGATCTCTGTCAGCCCACCTCGCTTCCTCAGCGATTTTAGAAGACGTGGTCCAACTTCCAAAAGTTGTGGACCGTACCAGCCTGCGCTCCGCGACAGAGATACCTCGAGAAAATGGTGCTATCGAATCCGGATCATCGATCGGTGGAGTGTTCGGCCCCGGCGACCGGAGATTAAGCGTAGGCTTAGGCTGAGAATATTGCGCATCGCAAATTCAAAAACGACAATTTCCGTGGCCCATCACTGCCTTGGCCAGTTTCCTACGACGACAGCGTGGCAGTGGTGGTGATCATTGACAACGGCGAGGTTTCGGCACTGAACATCGACCAATGGTGCCCGGTACAAGGTGGGTTTCCTTGTTCACTTTTTGTCGCTTTTACAATGTTGTAACACCGTAACGGAGTGGTGCCACGGACTACGACGGCCCGGCTACTAAAATTTATCGAGGTTCATGTTTGGAATTGATGATCATCATGGTATTCGGCTGGGGATGATGTTCGGTAGGGGTTGAGCGGAGGAGGAGCTCGAGCGGGAGGCGGGGACTAGGGCTGCGCGGCTTCTCCAGCTGCACGTCGGAGTCGACGTTCTCACCGGCTCGTTCTGCCCGGGTCACTTGCCGTCGAAGAGGAACTGGGGGTTGAGGGCAGGGCTTAGGCCCAAGCTTGGCTTGGAGGCTTAGCAAAGGCTTGTGGGGGCAGCGAGGCCACAGGCTTTGGTATCAGCGTGAAGGCGTGAACTTTGGAAAGCATGTAGTCTTGGGGTAATGGGGCTTGGGCTTAAGCTTAGCCTACAACGCTTCCCACCTCGAACTCCCAAGGCCCGGTGCGGCTCGGCCGACGGCTCGCCGACGTCGAGGCACCTCGAGCAGCTCCGACGTGGGCCCCTCGGAAGCTGGGGCCCAAAATTTAATTCTTCTCTTCCTTCCCCAAAGAACGACTTGGCAGGATGACCGACGTGTTCGGGAGAGCAACATGAAATTGACCAGGGACACTGAAAAAGAGCGGTTGCGGAATGATCGCGGGCGGCACTGACGTATGAGCTGAAAGTCGCTTGCCTTTCGGGGGATTAGCACGCCGGGCAGGCGGTCATTGTTCTTCGGCTGCCAGTAGTGTTCATCGACCCGGTGTCCCACACGAAGCCGCTGGTCACGCCGAGCCGGCTCGGGAATCGGGAGAGGCCTGGCCGGTAGCTCTGAACGGCTAATGAACATACAACTGGTTATACCCTACCTCAAGTAGAACTCGACCGTCTCCCTCAGCCGCTGAGTAAAGTCATCCAGCTTGCCGGAGGGGATGTTGGCGATAGGGAGCAGTTCCTTGACGTCGCTGAGTTCGGCCCAGGAGAGGCGCTCAGTCTCGAGACGGTCGACTGAGTGGGAGATGACCTGAAAGCCAGGATTCAGAGGTCGGACTGCTCGAGGACGTCGGCCATCCCCAGAAGGTATTCTGGTGAGCCCAGACGATGGTCGCCTTGAAGAGGAGGCCCCGGGGACACGGAACAGGGGGGTGGAGTCCAGGGGCGTCGGCCAGGGCCGGTCGATGCATCGCCTCGGAGAGGGTCGGGCAGGCTCTGTACCGGCTTCTCAAGGGGATTTCTGCCGATATAAAGGATCACTGCCGATATAAGGGGATCACCGCCACGATATAAAGGATCACTGCCGATAAAGGGATCACCGCCGATATAAGGGATCACCGCCGATATAAGGGATCGGGAAAAACCCCGAAAATGGCGGGTACCGATATAAGGGATCACGAAACCGGATTTCGGCCAAAATGTCGATATAAGGGATCAGAAGAAGGATTTTGCGCGATATATTATTACATTGATGTAAAGAGCTATTTATTTAGGTCGATTTCGAAAGAAATTACAGAGAAGTTGATAAAAGCCAGGTTTTACGGAAGTATTATTCGATTTTCGGTAGACTGGTGGGGGCCGGAAGGAAGCTGATTGGAACGCCGAAGAATTGATGGCAGAGGCCGTACTAAAGCAGATAGAGGTTAGGGATCGAAATAGCTGCATCACCGAGTTAGTCCATTGGTTTAAATACCAGTCCAATAAGTCCTGGCAGAGGTTAACGCGGGAGTCGCAGAAAACTAAATAAGGTGGATGAGGGAAAAGGAAAGGCGGAGGCACCACGATCACAAACTGGCAAAGGCATCGGACTGAATAATACTTCCGTAAAACATTAGTTTTTATCAACTTCTCTGTAATTTCTTTCGAAATCGACCTAAATAAATAGCTCTTTACATCAATGTAATAATATATCGCGCAAAATCCTTCTTCTGATCCCTGATATCGACATTTTGCCCGAAATCCGGTTTCGTGATCCCTTATATCGGTACCCGCCATTTTCGGGTTTTTTCCGATCCCTTATATCGGCGGTGATCCCTTATATCGGCGGTGATCCCTTTTATCGGCAGTGATCCCTTATATCGACGGTCCGAGGCCCTGATCCCTTATATCGGCGGTGATCC